TAAGGTCGACCGAGATGTCCTGGAATTTCTGGAGTTGACTGTCCCAGACACAGGGCCGACGATAGAAAATCCTCAAGGTGAAGGAGGTTTCAGACTTCCCGAATTGATGAAGGAGGCGACGGCATTCAGGCAAAATATTCCGACCCCACCGCAAATGGGACCGGTCCTGGGGCGAAGTTCCTACATAGACGACATAGCTCATGGGGCGCCTACCTGGAAAAACTTTGTGAAGACCTGAATGCCCTGCTATTCCGACTCCGATACTGGAATATCTCGGTCAGCCTTCCGAAAAGCGAGTTCGGCAAACAAGCTATACCGTACCTGTCTCACGAAGTCTGTGCCGAAGGTATCAGGGCTACCCCGAAGATTGCCAAGAGTGTTCACCTACCTTTTCCATCGACTCGGAAGGGCGTTCAGTCGTTCTTGGGAAGCTTGAATTACTACAACAAGTTTATCGAGGATTTACCTGTTGTCGCGGCTGTGCTTTACGAGCTGTATGAGGATCGCATTCGTGCCGGACATGATGTGGATAAGGCCAAGGAAGCGTTCGAGATTCTGAAACGTAAGATTACATCAACGCAGCTGCTGCGCCATCCAGAGTGTACCAAGCCGTTTGTCATCATCCCACATGCAAACCTCTGGGCGGCTTGTGCGGTCCTCGGACAGGAACATGAGGGGATCATTCAACCAGTGCGCTTTACATGGCGGGTTCTGATCGAGTCTGAACTCAGATACCACATCGCGGAGAAGGAGGTGTTGGCGATTCTGCGAGTCTTAGAGCAATTCCGTCCGCTCATCTACGGTTCAGAGACACCGATCATAATCTATACCCGGTACTCGGTCCTGAAGTGGTTATTGAAGTAAAATTGCGCTGACGGCCGTCACCTCAAGTGGGGTTTAGAATTGTCGAAGTGGGCTCTGGAACTGCGCCGTGTGTAGCGCGATGAAGATGGGTTAGCTGCTATCCTCGGTATTACCCCCAGGGAGCACTTGGACGAAGTCGCTGAAAGCCTGATCCCGGCTAAGGGGCGAATCAAGGCGCCTCCGCCAATTAGTGTGGAGATGCTGGATTCAGACTTCGAAGGATACGTTCTGAGCTTCGATGGTGCAGCCAAGGTCTCCACTAGA